TTCCATTTCCTTTCTATATACGGTGTTGGACTGTTATTTTTGTTTATTACTATTTATTCATCCTTTAATTTAATTAATGAATTAATATTTGAAAAAAACTGTATATTAACATCAAGTGTCAACCACTACAAGTTTAAAAAATGTATTTGAACTTGAATGGATGAATAGAAAATATTTTATAAACGACCGAAAATTTGAACAAGATATGATATATATATATATATACATACATATGAAGTGTTTCAAGTCAACGCAAAGCTTTTTTAAAAACAGTTTTATTCAGGGAGCAATCTCCATGTCTGTTGCTGAGAGAAAATGACGCCCAATTGAAAATCTAAGTTGTTTTGCCACTTATGCCCAGATGTGTTAAGTACCTCTTTTTACTTGTGGGTTCTACTTGAAAGTTAATGCTGACACATGGGGCTGTAAAAAATAATGATTTGGATTAGAAGTGTTCTGTTTGGACCATAAGTTCGGAGAAATAATTGGTTGTTTAAGACTTGAAGTTGTAATGGGAAAAAAAGTTAAATATAAAAGGGAATTTAATTTTAAATATAATTTAATTATCCTTACATATATATATATATATATATCGGGAGAGAGTGAATTAATAGTAAGAGTTGAAAAAATTAAGACGAATACAGCAAAAATGAACATTTGAAAACACACAGAAGTAGTTTAAGTTTCATTTACATATTTTACAGATGTTCTTTAAGGGAAACCTTGTTAACACAGCATACATCAATTCGATAGTCCATTTCCTGCCACACTTAACTCAACATAGTAGTATCAAAGTTATTGACAACACGTATTATCCTTATTATGCAGTTTTGTTGTATCACGCTGAAAGGAGGGTAGGAAAATTTGGTCTTATGTAAAAGATCAAGTTTTTGGATAACACGGAAAGAATAACACATGCTGTTAACGTTGATAGTATCATATTGAACAGAGTGTAGCAGGAACTGGACTATCACATTTACGAATGCTATGGGACCAAGGTTTCCCTCACAGTACGCTTGTAAAGTAAATAAATAATACACTGCTCAAAACAATTAGGAGAGCAAGCAGAAAAGTGAAGAAAACCGTGTGAGACAGCCACATATTGGCATACAATGCATAGTACACGCGTATTAATGCGCAATAGGGAAAAAAGGGGTAAAAAAATTTGGAATTAAGCTTTAATTCTTTGAAAATTATGGAAAAAACATTAAAAGATGATTTAGGGCAACAATTTGGTTACATGTAAACGATGAAAAAAGGTACTGTTTAGACATGATGCAGGAGTTTTAATAGGGCGTCTGGTCTCCTCGAACAGCTAAGACTGCTGCACACCTGTTTGCCACGGATGCGATGAGGTTATCGATCAGACTTTGGGGAATACTGTTCCACTCCTCAAGAAGTGCAATCTCCCAGTTTCGGACCGTAGCAGGCGACCTTGGTCACGCAGCAATGCGTCGTCTGAGCATGTCCCAAACAGGCTCGATTGGATTCAGGTCAGGAGAGCACGCTGGCCATTCCATACACTGTATTGTTTCAGCTTCAAGCATGTTCTCCACCAGACGAGCTCTATGCGGTCGGGCATTATCATCCTGGAAAACAAAGGAATCTCCAATGGCTCCAGCGTAAGGGATGACATGAGGTCGAAGTATCTCGTCTGCATACCTTCGGCCCGTCAAAGTGCCATTACGAATGATATGCAGGTCCGTACGTCCACCTATGCTGATTCCACCCCATACCATCCAACCAGCTTTTCTGTATTGTGACCTTTCACGAACGAATGCGGGGTTATTTCGAGTGCCCCTGTCCCTCCATACAAGAATACGTCTGGTGTCACACTCTAGACTGAATCGGGACTCGTCTGTAAACAGCACTTGGCTCCAATCATGTTGCTCCCAATCTCGATGTTCAGCAGCCCATCTTCTTCGGGCCGCACGGTGGCGTGGGGTCAACGGAATGCAGACCATTGGCCTACGTGCATAGAGCCCTCCCTCATGAAGCCGATTACGTACTGTTTGGCTGGACACCCTTCGTCCTGTTGCCAAGAGCAACTGTCTTTGCAGCTGCGTAGCATTCTCTGTTCTGTTTCGACGGGCTGTTAACTGTATATACCGATCATCAGTTGATGTAGTGGCGCGTGGCCGACCTGCCCCTGCTCGACGTCTAATATTTCCTGTTTCTTGGAATCGATTCCACAGCCTTGCAACAACACTTGTGGCGACTCCAACAGCGTCCGCGACACTACGTTGTGCTTGCCCGGATTCCAGTCGGCCTATAACACGCCATGCCATGGATTCCGGTAAATCACGTTGTTGAGACATTCTCAAGTAACCTTGTCTCAAAAAAAAAATACTGCGCAATCGAATTTCACAGTTACGGCAATAAAACAGACATTTCTGCAACATCGCGATTTCTGCCCTTATCACCTTTTTCTGGTTTTTGACGTCATAAACTTTGATTTGCATATAAAGTTTTCTTCTTCCGTTTCCTGGTAGGCTTTAAATTATGGATGATTCATTTTATGTTACTTATTGGTATACATCTTTGCTTACTTTTGTTAAAATCACGTACTCCCCTAATTGTTTTGAGCAGTGTACTTGAACTATTTCTATATATTTTTAAGTTATCTTTTTACCGTATTCGTCTTAGTTTCTCTACTATAGCGCTTCAAAATCTGGGAAGGAATTCTGAATAACCCTTTTTTTATTTCTAATGGGCTGCGGATTAGTGTTTTACCTATGCATACCAAGTACGTTTCTGGAAGCTGGTATCTCTTTTTACTGCGGCACCATATAGGCGGATATGAATCGCTGCATATAATTTTGACGCCCAATTTCCTCCCTAGAGGGAGGCACCTGAGCTTTATGAATATTCTGTATTTTGGATATGCTGCGAACATCTCCAAAATAAATATGGCCAATAAGAATTCCAAACTTGAATTTTTTTTAAAAAATTTTTCAAAATACAGATAATTTATAAGAGATTAAATTTGTATTTATATTGATAGAGCACTTAATTTCAACATCAACTTTTGAAAAACTCTAAAATTTGCATCAGAAAATACTCAAGTGAGTAGACTCGAAGGTAACATTATAGAGTCTGGCCTTACAAATATCAACCTATAACTTAGCTTCGAGGTTGGCACTGAGTCACTTGGAAAAGTCCAACTAAAAGTTAAGTTGTTTTTTCTGTGGGACTAATTAATTTATCGACTATCAGCTATAGTGAGGAATAATAAAAGAATGACATTGCATAGTAAATAGAGTACTTATCATTTTAATAAAGGTAAGAAGAAAATGCAAGTTGCAGCTAACACAGCTACTAAAGTTGGAAAAGGAGCCCTAAATTTAACTGCGTCTTATTTAAGTTACTTCAACATAAACTACATTGAGGGTTCGTGATATCATTGTAGTATTTATAGCAATATTTCTCCTGCCTGCAGCTCTTAAGAACATCTTTGCATACAAAACCTTAGAATTTGCAATTCATTTTTCCGTTCCTATATTTGCGTAAGGAACCTTAGAACCTTATCATAAGTGGGGAAAGTAGAAACAGAGAGAGAGAGAAAATAAATTTATAGTACAGAACATAACTATATACATTAAATGAAGAAACACAAACCCGAATTAGGGTTTTAATGGGGAAAAGCATCACAAAATTTTCAACGAATCTTCCTGGGGCGCTTACTATTATTATTATTGATAAACAGAAGTAAAAATTTTAAAAAATAACATATTTGAATGAAATGAGCAAAATTTGAACCTCTCAAAATTGAAAGCAAACGCAATAAATTCGTCCATAAAAATTTAAAAAAAAAGAAGAAAACTAACACTTGTGGTGGAATAGTTTTGAGCTCTTATTATTTTTCCCGAATGATGTGGCGATAAATGTACAAGAATTTTAGTAATTTTAAAATAACTGATTTTCGAAGCCCCTTGTGATTTCATTTTTAGATTTTCCTTATTTATTTCGTGGTGTTTCTGTACTTCCCTTTTTAAATTAAGGCATAAAATTTCACACCTTAAAGTTAGGGGAGTATGAAGATGATTTAAGCTGACGTGAGCAATTGAATGGTAACTATTCTTTCATAACGCATTTGTAAATGAAAGTTTATCTGCGAAAGATTTTAATTAATTAATATTAGCACAATATAACACGTACTTGTGCGAGCAACACTCTTTCCTAGCTCAACTGCTATATATTTTTAAAAAGTAACCTCTGCCAAGCTCATTTTATATCTGAATTATGGATAAAGAAAATGACAATTTTTTATGTATATTTTCAAACATACATATCTTTTAAAACATAATAGAAAAAATTTCCTAGAAGTTAATGTAAAAGAAAACCTATTTAAATAAATGAATGATCTACCTGTAAAGTTGGCTTTCTATATGGCAGACATCATTAGACTTTAGAGTCAATTCACACATTAACTATAAATATAAAGATTAAAATGCACACTTTTATCTTGAAATACAAATTTTACTTACATGTTTTGCATTTAAATAAATAATTATGAAAATTTTAATCAAAATTAGATAGTGTATGATAAATTCGAAAACCCGTTGCGGCACATTACACAATATCGCTATCTGGACGATAGAACCTTGTTTCTCTTTGTACCTTCCTCTCTTTACTATCTCTCTTAGAACAGCAAATCTTACTATTACTATTACTATCTCAATAATCCAACATTGTCGTGCTGGATTAGTTTTCTTTTCTGTTGGGAGATTAGTTTTCCTGTGTTAGTTTTCTTCTCTATTCACACTCTCCTTATATATTTATTTATATATCTTGCTCAAGGTTTCAATCGTTAATAAAATATACTTTCTATTCATCCATTCAAGTTCAAATACATTTTCTTAAACTTGTAGTGGAGGACACTTGACGTTAATACAGTATTTTCGAATATTAATTTATTACTTAAAATAAAAAATGCGTAAATTGTAACAAACAAAAATAATAATCCAACACCATATATAAAAAGAAAAATCGTTCTTAATGTTCCTGTAGCACAATGTATAGTGCGTTGGAGTTCTAATCCAAAGGTCCTGGTTTCAAATCTCAGCTGGGATGGCCTAATTTTTGATAATGGGATTTCTTTATTACTATACTGTTTTATTAGAATAATTAAACTGAATTTTGGATAAACAGTAACAGAAACAAATAAAAATGCTCCAACACCATATGTAGAAAGGAAAATCGCTTTCTATTTTGTCAGTTAATATTGAGATTCTGTTAAATGTATATACATATTTTTATTAATTGTAACTATTTTTTATAAAAAGTAACTAAAACAAAAATATTTCTTTGTTGGCTATGTAGGAACTGACTTAATTTTTTTTGTATTACTTGTTTTCATTCACAGCGTATAAAGTGCACCATTAAATTACGATCTTATTTTTTGCGTTAAAAGTGCGTGTTTATACGCCGGACTTTTAAAAGTGAGTTTAAAAAGCATCTTCATCTTTCTTTACATCTGTGAAGTTATTTCATTCAACTAATCTTTCCTTTTTTTTTTATCAACAACAATATAAATTGATAAATTAACTCAATAGTGTTTCTTCTCTTTTTCGCTACTCTTTCGAACTTAAACCCATTACAACATACAAATCTATTCGATGAAAGAAATCTAGTTTTTCTTTATTTCCTTCTCTTCCAAACATTCCTTTTTTGAAGCAATGTTAAAACTATAATTATATTGTTCCACAATCTATCTCGTGACGAAAAATACCCGACGAATTTTTTTTCTTTAAAAAAAATCTATCTTTTTAACAAGAAGAAAGTAGGCGTTAATCTTTCATTCCCCCTGCTTTTATACCACAGGCATTATATCCATAATCATTGTTGACAGAACCTGGATTCACTGCAAAAGGGAAATGCAAATGCATCGATTTTTGCACGTCGGCCAAGTAACAGCAGGAAAAGAATAAGTTTTTTTTTTTCACCTCCCTTTCCTTTTCGACATAGAAATTTTATTCTTATTCTTTTTCAACTGCCTGCGATCTTTATCCCTTAGAGAAAGATAGTTTTCAGATTTTCCCCGGAATAAAATGTATCATATATCTATCCCTTTTTCTGCATTTGACATGTTTGGGTGGACTTGATGTTATTCTCTTTCCCCCGGTTTTCATCATTAATGGGACACATTCTCCCCTGTCGTTAAATTATTTATTTTTACAAACGAATTCCTCTTTAGGTGACATTATTTATTAACTACTACGACTGTTAGATGCAGAAGAGGAAATTAATATTGTATGCAAAACAAGTTCTGAGTAGTATGGCAGTCCGGCTTGAGATGATTATTTATGTATGTGATTTATCGCTTATGTAATTGCAATTGTGTTGGTTTTCTTTGTCTGCAGTATATTACAATTCATCTTATTAATTGAATGGATTGTTTTTTTCCATCCAAACTTCCATAATATATTGCGGATCATATTCCCGAGCCTTAAGAAAAGCAAAAAATGCTTAGTATTTTAATAAGTTAAACATTTATCGATCAAAATTTAATTTAGATTTGAATCAAGAGTTGACAGTTATTTCAAATAAGCGAAAAAGTCAGAAATAACTTGATCGGGGACACTGGAACCGTATCTCAAGGCTGAGTCCTACGACTCTAGTACGTAATCCTCGCCAAGAGAATGAGGTACAAGTTCAGGTGTCCTTTTCGATAATGGACAATGATTCAGAATGAAATCTACCCTCCTGTAGTTTTCGTAGAATTGACAATTTCAAGCAATATCCCATTAAGTTAAATAATAAATATTTAATGTAGCAAATTCATAGAGAATAGTAACGAATAAATGCGTTTGTGTTTTAAGTAGACCATATCTTGCTGCTGAACATATCAGGAAGAGAAGAAAATAATAAAACCGTGCTTGCTATAAATATGCAGTAAATAGTAGAAAGAAAACATGATCACATTTGAAGGCAATGTAGGGATATACAGACTGAAAACATAGCTGCTATCTCTGGCAACTAAATCGATTTTAACCAGCTAGACACTGAGTTGAAATGACAACAAATACAGGTAAGTGATTCCATGCTACTTCAAGTTTACACCATACTTATTCAATCGTAGATGCTGGAGAGCGGTGAGCTAATCAATAAGTGTACCTTTTTTGAAAAAACGTGGAGCTCTTTCCATATATCATAATACATCCTCACAGAAGGATGCCAGGACCACCCGAACTATTTTTTCCCTTGATGTTAGTGGGATGGAAGCGTGTTCCTAACTCTTTCCATATTAACTGTCCTCGAGAATCGTTTGTTAGATCAAAACGACTTTCATTGGTAAAGAGGACGTGATTCCATTGATGAGATGTTCAGTCATTGTGTTCATAACACCATTGTAATCAGTGCCGCCAGTGTAGTTCTAGCAGGGGTATAAAGTGGAAAGAGAATGTGGGTCACCATTATGCTAGAGTCAGACTGTAATAAACGTGGATACTTATAATTTGGCTGCTGACTACCAACTTTAGTTATTGTTGAACATGTCCTTTGGAAGGTTACAACAAGACTCATGATGCAACGCTTGTCAATCCTAAATTCTTGAACAACACTCGTCAAATTAAGCCTCTCCTCAGGTTTGTCAATTATTTTACATGTGTTTAAGCAAATTGATATGTTCATGCAGCCTAATTGCACAAGCGAATTCACTTTTCTCTAGCAACTGATATATGGAATTTAGTTTTCTTCCCCTCTTTTTTTTAAAATTGTTTTGAACAGCACGCGCTGACTCAACGCAAATTTCATGCCCACACGTGGTATTTGACGCTTTGTTCCTAGTACTTGAATATGCATCATCCATCTAATGAGGGGATTTTTCCTCGATCTGATCACAAAAAGGGACACTAAAACAGTTTCATGGTTGCCTGCTGAAAATTGACTTTGTTGCTTTGATTTTATATATTCGAAGGATAATTCAGGATTCCATTTAGCGGAGACGTTGTTGTTCTTTTTATAATTTAAACTATCAATAGATATTTAGAAATAAATTAATAGAAAAGAGATAAATTTATTTTCAGTTAATGGCTCGAAAAAAATAAATTTCTTGACTTATGCAATATCGTTCATAATCTGCCTACAAATTTAGCAACTATTGTTATATATACGGTAGTGTTACCTTGAACTGCCAAGATGGTGGCGAGGTAGAAAAGTTATAGGTAAATAGGGTTTGATTTCTATGTAAAATTATAATTACTGCATTAAATAATGCTTGAAGGAGTCAAACAAATGCAATTTTAAAAAATTTCAGATTAATCTGTCAGTTAAAGATTGTATTCACAAAATAAATTCACCGAATGAAATATACTTGCTCAACAATGACCAGAATAACTTTTATACAAATATAATTTGGAAAGAATAGGATGCTTACTTTTTAATAATATCTTGTTGGAAAATATGTTACATTTTATCATTTCCATAAAAATATCTTTCTCGTTAATAATCCGGTGTAGAAACCATAATTTACCTCGCTTTATTATTAATTTTTATTTTTCATACTTGAAAAAGCTGATTGCGAAATTCACTACTTGGCAAAAACTATTCACTGGCACAAATGACCATTTACATAAAAATTTTAATTAAAATACCGAAGTAAAAACGAATTCCGACTACCAATACCTCCAGCCTAACGTAGCCTCACAGCCTCTACGCGAACTTGCGCTACCATTACCAGCTGATCGCCTGACTATTCTCCAAATTTGATGATGTCCATAATCTGCCCTATTTTTTATTGCTTCCTCCATAACATTCCCAAACTAAACTATAACTCTTAACCCTCTGCAGTCACTCGTGACGCCGGCTACGTGATTTATTTCCCACTTTTAGCCCCAGCACCGCTCCTGGCGAACCGCCAAGGGTCCGAAAGAAAGAACGCCCAGGGCTAACGGCCATTAGTCTCCTCAGGGACCTCGCTGTCATGTACGTCTGCCACGCTCGCACCCCCGGGCCAGATGCGATTTTTGAGTCAATCGATGAATAGGTGATATAAAATGGAACGTTTTATAGTTTAGATATTTCTCGCCCACCATGAAAGATGTTGGTGATGAGAGGTCCCTACCCTTGGGGATTGAAGGGCCGCTATTGAATCGTTTTTGATGGGGGTGTAAGTGAGGTTAATCAGAGTTGAGAAGAAGTATCTCTGGAAATCGGTTAAAGTTCTGCTTGATGTAGTTTCCGGTTGTGCTATACTTCAGTTTATTGTTCCCAATATTGTATGTGTCACTCGTAAAGTTACAACTTTATCTTCGCTGTTTTTAGTAGCTCACAGATGATAATAAAAGTGGCATGATTAGAAAAGTTCTTTATGTGGCTATCTGGATAATGCCACATTTAGAGAAAAGTCACAGTTTTGTCAATATAAATTAAAAGCTGAATTACTTAAGATATTTATAATACACTGTTGGACAATTGCTAAGGACGGATCACAAATTGCTTTGTAGCATAACATTGAGCGAGACATGAGGCCTAGTAGGATAAAATATAGTTGCCACACTGTTCAGACATTAGAATAAAGAATATTTATTGTTCTGCAAAGTACAAAAGCTGTGAAACATCTGAAAGAGAAAAAATGTTCATTTGATCTGCGTACGGAGAAATGGAACAATGCATCTAAAAGTCAGCAGGCACCTTAAAGAAAGGTTTCAGTACGGGATATGTCCACCGTGGAGTGTGATGCAACATTCCACGCGTCGTACCATACTTTGCACAACATTATCCAGCAGCTGTTGAGGCAATTTATCCCATTCCTCTGTGAGTGCACGGATGAGGGTGTTCTTGTTTGTCGGAGGATAGTTTCGACCAGCAACTTGCCTCTCCAAAGCATCCCACACATTTTCAATGGGGTTTAGATCTGGAGAATGCGCTGGCCATACGAGACGTTGAATACCCACGCTGTCTAGACAATCCTGAACAGCGAGTTTTCGATGACATGTTGCGTTGTCGTCCATAAAAACAAATTTATCACCGACAGCACCACGGAAAAGATAAACATGAGGAAGTAGAACTTCATCAATGTATCGTTGGCCCGTCATAGTCCCATTCGCAACCACATGTAGGCGCGTGCGGCC